GCGTGGCAAGTGATGGACCGTTGGATGACCAAAAATCTGTCACTCTCATATAAAAGGAACGTGAGAAGCCTTTAGGTTTAGGACGATTTTGAGCAGCTTCTATAATCTTCGAGTTTTTCATCTTCTTTGTTTTTCGATTATTCTCTCTTAGATCTTGTGTGATTTATTGAGAGAAATAAAAATTAGATGAACTCTTGTGTGAGTTCATTATGCTGTGAGAAGTTTTGTAGTGATTGAGAATCTGGAATTGTGTGTTCTATGTAACTCAAATTCTTTGCCTATTTTGGACGATATATAGTGAATTTTGAGCTTAATCCTAACGGCTGCTCAACAGGGATTAGGCGTTTGAAGCGGTCGCCTAACTTCCTTTGGACCGAAAAATCTTGTGTTTTCTGATCTTTTTATTTTTTTTTTGTTGTGTTCAATTTATAAACTACAACACAAATAATTTTTCTAAGTATTAAAGTGGTATCAGAGCATTTTAGATTATTTGATTTGTGTTGTGCCTTTTTGAGTTTCTGCGTTTTTGTTCGAACACATATATCTGTATAGATCTATGATTCTGCTTTCATTTTTAATTTTTTTTTAAAGTGATTCTTGTAATACTGGTTGAGTCCTTTGGTGTTTTCTGAGTATCGATTTCAAAATAATTGTAATTTTTGCAAGTCTTTTTGGTAACATATCGTTTTTTTTTAAAAAGGGGGTTAGGGTTTCTATGAATCTTCCCTAAATCTACTTTTGTCTAGGGGTCCTTGTTAGAACCCTAGAATCTGAGGGGACTAGGGCGTTGATTCAAGAAATTTCATTCTTTTCAAAATATTTTTAATGTGTATTCGATTACTGTGAGGACTTTAAGATACTCCAGAAATAATTTCTTTGTACATATACCATTGAATATACTGTTGACTTACTGATACTCAAAATTCGTTTATTCAGGAAAGGGATGAAATTACTGATTGACTAAGACAATCCTTCTTGAAGGTATATGTACTGCATTAACCTCTTTGGTAGCTTACTGAGTGTAAATGTAATTTGATCTTGAACTCCATTGTGTGCTTGGCAACTTTGTATATTATCCTTGCATATAAATACTGTGGTCTTTGGAATAATTGATCTTTATTATATCATTGTGATATATTGCTAGCTATTTCATATTTGTACATATATATTGTATACACTGTTACACACCATGACTTCTAAGATAGATGTCCAGATGTGGGATGGCAAATGAGACTTTAGTCTTTGGCGCCAGAAAATTAAGGCTCTTATGTTACAATTAAAATGTGCTAATGCTATTGATGAATCTTGGCCAGAAAGTCTGTCTGAGAATAGAAAAATTGAACAAGATGAACTGGTCTAGAGCACTATGTTTCTGCACTTATTTGATTATGTGATTAGGAAAGTATGAGAGACTAAAAGTGCTGTAGAATTGTGGATAGCCTTAGAAAAACAGTATCTCACTAAATCTTTACCAAATAAATATTTTCTTTGGAGACAGTTTTTTAGTTTTAAGTTTGATCCTAATCTTGATACAGAAGATAATATGGACAAATTTAATAGGATTATTCAAGACTTAATAAACAGTGGTGAGAAAATCTCAGATGAGCAAAAGGTAGTTGGTCTACTTAATCCCTTAGGAGATAAGTACGAAGACATTAAAATGCTCTAGAGTATGGAAGGAGTGACCTTACTATTGAAATAATTCACAGATATCTTCTAAATAGAGAACTGGAATTTAAATCTAAACACAAAGAGGTGTTCAATGTGGAGAGCGTGTCACCAAAACAAAGAACACATGTTAAAGGTGTGAGCAACTTTAGCGATTCCAATTATAACAAGGATACAAATTTTGTCAAAAAGAAATGGAGTAACACCAAAGGAAAGGACAAGAAACCTAATAAAGGAAAGGCAAATGACAAGAAGTGCTTTTATTGTGGAAAAACTGGGCATTTCATTAAGAATTGCTTTAAAAAGGCCAATGACCACAAGAAAGAGACTAATACTGAAAATGCTTCATTGGCCATTGCTCCTAACTATAAAGAAGCATAAGCCAATATTGGAGTTGCCTATGTGTCAATAATAGAGAGTTATAATTAGGACTGGGTTTTAGACTTTGGATGTTCCTTTCATATGACACCAAATATTGGCTGTTTGGCTGACTATTCAAGTCTTGATTGAGGGACTATGACATTTAGGAATGATGAGTCATGTCCAGTCAAGGGTATTGGTAATGTGTTACTAAAACTTGGAAATGGTCGTCACGTGTTGTTGAAACATACTACATATGTGCCAGCACTTAAAAGAAACCTCATATCCCTGGGAGTTCTTGATGATGAAAATTATCAAATTGAGCTAAAGAATGGTTCTATGAATATAACAAGAAATCAAGAACTTATTGTCAGCTCACCTAAGCTCAATGAAATTTATGTTATAGGTGCTAAAATTATTCTAACAAATAATGCTGTGAATCTTATCACACATCCCGATAAATCGAAATTATGACATAAAAGGCTTGGTCATCTAGGTTAAAAAGGTTTAGAAACTTTGTCATAGCAAGGGGTATTTGGAAAAGATAGTGTTCAAAAATTAACTTTTTGTGAACATTGCATAATAGAAAAGCAAGTCAGACTACCATTTTAGTCAGGGTTGCAT